TCGGCGCTCGCGTTCTGAGCAAGGAGCCCGCGCGGAGCCGCCATGGAGATGCTGCTGCCGCCGGTGTGAGTGCGGGCGGGCGGGCCGGGGCTCGCTCCCCACCGCGGCCCCGGGTGCTGGAGCTGCTGGGTGATGCACGCATCCCCCCCCCGGTGTTCTGGAGAAATCGCCCTTTCTGAAGCTGGTGCGGGGCCAGCGCCGAGCTTGGGCGCGGAGGCGAGGGGAGATGGGAGGCCTGAGCTGCACAGTGGGGCCCGGAGGCTTCTGCGGGGCTGCAGCTACTCCTGGGCAGCCCCTGCAGGGAGGAAGGGAAGGAGCTCTCAGAGGCAGGTGAAGTGTGGGGACGATCCCGTAGCCCCGACGGTTTGGGTCCTGCACACAGGAGAGGCGAAGGTCCTGGCGGGCCGCGTGTCTTACGTGGCCGGAGTTTGTGGGTGTCGTGGTGCCCTTCCTAGAAGGGTTCCCCAAAAGAAACAGCCGGTGCCGGCTGTGCAGGTGGGCTAGCGAGGGATGCCGCTGCTGCCTGCAAGGGTTCTTGCCTCCCACCTGTTTCAGCGTGGCAGGTTTTTACATCCCTGGCACTGACCGGCCTTGAGGTTAAGGTGGGATGAGTGTCCTGGTGACTAAGCTATTGCACCGGAGGTGGAGAGCTCCTCCGGTGCCCACACTGCTCGCCACCCTCCTTTGCCAGCTGGTGTAGGAATTTGACTCTCATCTGCTTCAAGAACCACATGGTTCCCTTGTGCTTGAGGTCGTCTCTGTGTTATCTTCCTTGCCGTCTCAGGACTTTGTGCCTGGGATTTAGCAGTCACCCTGGCACTTGACCAGAGGCTGCAATGTCCTCTTTTTCCCCCAGCACATTGATATCCATCGCTTAAGTGGGGAAATACTTGACTTGCTCTTGCTTTTCCTTATGTTTTACAGTGTGTTGGGGCTTTCACAACTAGCCTTTCAGGGAGAACTGGCACCAGTGTGTCTGTAGCAGGCCAGGTTTGAAGGAGGTTGGGGGAAGTTAGCCATGGGGAAGGGTGTGATGGAGGGGAGGGGAGAGATGGGGATGAAAATCCATCTCTGTAATTGGAAGCACTTTATGTTCTTCCAAGATCTGACAGGTCAAGACTTTGACATATGGAGCTAGAAATGACAACTGCCTCCCAGCTGTTTTTTTCGGTATGTGTTAAATGTGTTGCCTGTCTGTTTACAGACCACAGACTTCCTCTTTTTAAAAAAAAAAAAAAACCAACACAGGCATGCTTTGATGCCATATAGCTTGAATTCTGTCTATTCCTTGTGCATCTTCCATGACTGTCTTCTACCTTTTTTAATGATTGTTGAAATCTGACATGCAAGGGATGGCATATGTTTCCTCTGAATGATTAAACTGTAGCTGTTTTTTGGAAGAGTAAATTATTATGGTAGTACTGACATTTCCTTAGGAACAGGGATTATCTCATGCAGTGAGGGACAATGCATGAATGGTTTAGGTGGTTTGAGTTTGACTATTCATTCCTATGTGCAAGGTCAGGAATGCTTTTTTCATTGATATCTATAGGGAGCATTCTTTGCTTGCATAGGGTCCCAAACTATCCCCAGGCTGATTCAACAGCCTTAACAAAAAAGTCAGGGTAATTAAGAGTGCATTGGACTCCTTGTAGTCTTCTTTAATATGCATGGATTTATACTTTCCTTAATCCAGTAGTTTCAGATACTACTGAGCTGAGCCTCTAGACACAGATGAAATAGAGTTAGTGCCACACACAACTGTTACTCAACTGGAGGTACAAATAAGCAAAACAAAAGTAATTAGAAGTGGGTAAAATAGTTGTCAAAATACAGTGCATATTAAGAGAATCTTATGGGCTTGATAACTCATGACACGGGTGTTTTGTAGTTTAGCATTTGACAAAGTTTCATCAAATGGATGGAGAGTTCTTCATGTATTAGTACGTTAGCAAACATGCCATCTGTTCAGAGTGTTTGGCAACCCTTTAAAGACAGCACTCAGAACAGGCTTGTAGTTTTCAGTAACCACTAAATTTCTCAGTGGCTGTACTAGCAAGTGTGAGTCCAGTTTTGGACGTTATACTTCAAGAAGGGTGTTGATCGACTCAAGAGGGTCCAGAGGAGGGCCGCTCATATGTTTAAGGGCTTACAGGATGAGCTGTATGAGGAGAGACTGAGGGACCTCTTCAGCCTCTGCAAGAGAAGGCTGAGAGGTGATCTTGTGGCTGCCTACAAATTCATTAGGGGGACGCAGCAAGGGATCGGGTGCCCAGGGTGCCTCTTGGGGTGACAAGCTGACAGGGAGCAAATTTAGGCTAGATATCAGGAAAAACTTCTTCATGGTAAGGGTGGGTGAAATTTGGAATGGGCTTCCAAGGGAGGTGGTGCTGTCCCCTACCTTGGGGGTCTTTAAGAGAAGGCTGAATGGGGATCTGGCTGGGGTCATCTGACCCCAGCACTCTTTCCTGCCCAGGCAGGGGGTTGACTTGATGATCTGTTGACGTCCCTTCTGACCCTAGCATCTATGCAACTATATTTGGGAAGAAAAACCCTAGGAGATGCAGTTGGGAAAATAGGTCAGAGTTCTGGATGTGAAAAAGATTTAATTTGACCCCACTCATAAAGAAACAAGATATTTACACGTGGCAAATTTTAAGCAGTGCTCTAATAATCTACAAAAGAGTGTAAAATGTTAAAGAATTTGTGTTGGGCAGAACAACCTAGTACTTTGAATTCCAAAGAGAGTTTCTGTTTGGCTATTGTTAATTTTTGAGGTTTGGGAATAAAGTTGTGTGGCAGACATGACAACATGAGAACTAAAAAATATTGGTATGATGAGAGCTGTGGTAGTTTATGCCTTTTTTGAAATAGCAACACAGCCTATTGATATTGGAACTGAAAAAACCCACTTCTTTATTTGCTCTTGGCTACTGTTAGCAAGTAAAGGGGCGTGCACTATTTTTTTAATAGAAGATGATTTTTGTTCTTAGAAAATTTAAGTGCTCTGTCTTTATTGCTGCAATGAACAACTTCGGAATGTAAAGGAAGCGATGCTAGTTTTTCAGGTTGCTCTAGTATCAGTGTGACTACGCAGAGCTTTTTCAGCACAGAAATTGGGAATCGGTAGTCGCTATTTTAATTCAGAAAAGCATTGTGCGGATCAGTGAGATCGCTGTGCTTAACTACTGTTTAAGTTTCCTAAGCCGGTGCATGAAACTGAAAATGGGCAAAGTTTACACAGTGGAGGATGTCCTTGAACATGCTGAGGAAAAAATAGTTTTAACAGCTGAAGATCTGTTGGGGAGGTGGGGGGTGGCAGGAAAAGAGAGAACTGTTTTTTTCCTAGTTGGCAGTTCAGGGCATGGGAAAGTACAGATTTATCAGAGACCAACTAAACCTGGAATTGGGACAGGATGGAGAATGTGTCTAACATGACTCGAAGCTAGGATGTCAAGGACCTACTCCTTTCTGAGCAGCTGCCTGATTGATTAGGAGCAGGTTGGGCTTTGCACTGATACCCTTGTTTATGGAGCTACATGCATCGCTCTGAATTCTGGACATTGGTAATAAGTAATTTGAAATTGCTCTGATTACAGAACAAGGTCTAAAGCATTTTTTGCAGATAGGCACAAAAAAAGCCCCCAAAACAAGAAACCCCATACACCAATAGGAAGAAGAGAAACTCAACTCTTTGTATGTGTGTCTTTTTTTTTCCCCAGATGTACAAAACTTTGCCATCAGAAGCCTTTGGATATGAAAGATGATAATACTGAAAAACACTGCCCTGTTACAGTGAATCCCTGGCATATGAAGAAAGCTTTCAAAGTTATGAATGAATTAAGAAGGTATTGCTTCATTTTGTGCTTGTGCATGGAGTTTATAGTACATTTTCAGTTGTTAGTAGCGGTTTCCAGAGGTGTAGGGTGACACCTGAGTGCCCTGGGTGGCAGTGATACATGGCCATGGCAGTGTCAGTGGTTGCACTGTTGGTGGCATGGTCATGGCCAGTCCAGAATTCCCTTTTTTCTTTTCTTTTTTTTGCCAGTGCCTGGGGCTAGTGACCAGATTGTTCACCTTCTCCCCTCCCATCCTCCTCACCCCTTCATGATGTTACTGGAGTTTTTTCTTGAGTTTATTCTATAAATAGAATGTATACTCCCAAGGACATCTCTTTCCCCGTAGAAAAATGTTGTAAAACTTTAAAGTGAGAACCAGCCCTTCACCATATGGTAATTTGGACTATGTACAGTGTAGGTATGTCAGTGCAGGCACTAAGAGTGCCACCCGGAAGCTTGCCCTGCTCTCTTGCTTCATGTGTGCCAAACCTAGAAATGAGACAGTGAAACCACCTTGAAGGTATCTTTGCCATGGGTCCCAGGCACAGCAGAGACAGATCTGGCAGAGGCATCCTCACAGCAGGTTAACTGCCTTATTTTGGATTTGGCAGTGTAGAGCAAGAGCGGGTGCCCAAGTGTGGTGGCACAGGAAAAGTACAGTAGACCTGCCTTATATTACTGCACATGAAAAACTAGCCAGAGTTATTGCTTTATGGGACATAAATGTGGAGGATTTTGTTTGTTCATCATAAAGGTCACTACTTCTTATACCATATATTCCAGTGAATTGAATTCATTGTCAGGTGAACTCAGTTGCATCACTTTCACAGAGGCTTCTTACACAGTGGAAAAACCCTTTTTTTAAATTGTTTCCAAACATTGCTACCCTCAGGCTGAGCAGTGCTGGCAGCCCTGTACTGAGGCTGTTCTTAACATATGGGGTCATATGAGCCCTGTATTCATTCCTGCCCAGGGCAGGGGTTTGGACTAGATGATCTGCTCAGGTCCCATCTGACTCTACATCTATGAACACCATACTGATATAACTTTGTACTGACAGGACTGGGTGAAGCACTGTTGAAAAACAGCAACACTTGGCAATTATGACTCTCAGCCAATACTAATTATGGTTCAGCCAAATAGGTAATGGTAACAGTGGGAGAAAGTTAGTGTAGGAAAGGCCTGAGAGTTTAAAGCTCAGCGTATGCTCTCTTGTTTTTTGTCATACGCATTTGTAAATACTTTTTCCCCTTTCTTCATCTGCACTTTTTCTTGCATGTGTGTATTTGCTGTTGCTAACATTGCCCAAATGACAATGCTCATCAACTTTTGATAGTGTCCTGTCTCAGATGAACATGGAGAAAAGTGTGTAGTCTATGCAGTTGAAATTGTGCAGACAGAATAGTTTAAAACATTTTGCTTGATTTCAGAATAATGAGAGAAGGATGGAGGATATTCACCAAAGTGTGTCTGAGGAGTCTGCTGCTAGAAGGATTGGATAGTTGCATTGTTTCATTCTACCACATATCTTTTTTCTTGGTAGCTAGGTAACCTGATTTAGTATCTCAATAATTGTGACAATATTTTAGGGTTCCACAGCTGACTTTTTCTTGGCTAGGGAAAGTTTTGAAGTAGGGGCTGTGTTTGAATGAAGCTAGGGGCCTGCTTACACACTACAGTGCAACACAATGTCATGTGGAGGTACCAGAGATAATTTGGTGCACACACTAGCTTTTAAATTGGAAGTGTAACTACTTTAATGCAGTACTGTGCCAAAGCTAATCAGCTCTGATGTGAAAGTCTTATAAGCTCGGTACCAGTGCTGTGCTCATTGGCCAGATGAATAGTGCGGGGCCGAGGTATTAATTGCCTCTTGGCCACTCAGTGATGAGGGGGAAGGGTGTGTGGCAAAAAGAGCAAGATTAAAGGTGGTGCTGTGCCACAAACTTCTACCATAGCTTAGATAGGTCCCTAAATACAAATCTCTAGGACGTCTGGCTAGTAACTCTGTCACGTGAAGATTTAGCAATCTACTTCCTTTTTAGTCTTCATCAAGATAAAAGCAGGAATTCTTCAGAACCTGTGCTTAGTAGAAGATTTCAGTAGCTTATAAACAAGGATGTTCAAATTTGTTGAAAATCTAAAATAATTACTTTCTCCTATTTTTGACAGTATCAGATCATTCTAACAAATTGGAAAGCGATTGCTAGGGCAAAATCTATTTTGGTTTCTTTTATATACCAAGATGCATTACCAGGTTTGCCAGCTTATGAACATGACACAAAATTACACCAGTTATTAGCTTTAATTAAAATTTGAAAAAGCCTTTCTGATAATGAAGAGAGTCTTCTATAAAAGAGCTCACAGTAAAGCAGGTTTCATACCTGATTCATATTCTATAACAATAACTTTTAACAAAAAGTAAACTGCATCATTCATCTCTGTACATCTAGGTTTCAGAACTGTAGCCATGAAATTGGCAAGTTTTAATTAAGAGTGAGATGTGTGCAGCTGTTGGATTTATTTCACATTTCCATCCCACCTGTTCATCTCAAGATCTGGAGATGGATAATTTAAACACTTAAATGACAAATCCCATTTGAGATAACAGCCATATGCTATTCAAAAACTGAGGCTCAAGGAATTAGTGGTATGGGACAGAATTACTAGAGTGACAATCTCCCACTGGTTCTTGTTCTATCAGAATATGGTCTTTCTTTACATGTTGTAAATTCCTCAGCTCTGATGTACTTACCCTCCCCTCCAATTTCCCTTTATCTCCCGAAAAATCCATGGATGTCCCATCTTCTGACCCCTGGCTCCTGTGAGCTCTGTCCTCTGGCATCTCTAAACCAATGCTAGTGGATGCAAGAGGGTTACAAAAAGAGTGTAGATCACTCTAAATCAGTAGTGCTCAGCCTTTGTGGTATGAAGCCAGTTCCCATGGGTGGGGTGAATCCATGGGCTGGATCCGGCATAGTCAGTGTGCTGACCTAGCCATAGAGCCAGACTGTGCTCCAGCCCAGCATCTCTTCTGGATCTGATCATGAAGTGATTCCTGTGTGCCATCTCTGTTTGGTCCATGGGATCTCTGTAAGTCATGGGCAGCTAATGCTGCCGCTGATTTTCCACTGTCAAATTTCTGGACCTGGGGGGAGCCCTGTGGGCTGGAGATTGAGCACCACTGCTCTAGATATACTTGATTTGATGCTTTCTCTCTAAAGTATCTACCTGTGTCAATGTCAGAGATAGGATGCTAGGCTAGGTGGACCAGTGGTCTGACCCAGTATGTCACTACTTGCATTCTTATGTTTTGTCTTGGAGACAAAATATTGCTCTTGGAAGAGACCTGCCTGGAGGATGATGACATTAGGTGTAATACAAAACTAATGATTCCTACCAGAGAAATACTGGGAATAACCTGGTTGCAGCTTGAGTTACTCAGCTATAAAGAGTAATTGTAAATTGCAATGAATTTGTATCTAGTAGTTAATTTTTGCACTATGGAGAACTGGATTAAGTGGTTTAAATAAACTTTATTAAAGCTTTTTGTGAAAATAGTGGGGAGGAAACTTGTGCCAACACTAAGTTAAGAGTAATACTGACCATCTAGGCAAGTTAGAAATTGGCCACAATATAAAGTTTATCTTCAAAATATCTAAGTTAGTGCATCTGGATAAAAATATCTATAATCTGTATATGAAATGGTTGGAAAGCAAGGAAAACCAGGAAAACTCTCTCAAATCAGGCTTCCTCACTGTCTAGAAATATCTATAGTTTTACTTATATGGTAGGGAAACTTTGTCCACATTCACACTGATGTATCCAGTGACACCATTTAGTTATCTACTCACTCTTTTAGTTATCTAGTAAGCTGATACAGATCTTTAGTTATTTTCTGCTTCTAAAAGTCTTTTTTTTTTTTAGCTAAGCAAGAAAGCACTGTTCATGAGTGTTGTTTTAGGAAGCTGCATGTACCCAAACACCATCTGTAAGCACACTGAGTAATAGCCATGTGGTTTCATAACACATTTGAAAACATTGCTTAATCAACATTGTCTTCAAAGCATTTTGTTAGGATTGGGGTTAGGGTAGGGGGAGTATTAGGGTGATGTGATGTTACATGATTCTCTGTGGCTTGCTTATATATAATTGTTTTTTCCTTTAATATCTCTTAAATAGTCAAAGCCTGCTGTGTGATGTGACAATAGTAGCGGAAGACATGGAAATTGCAGCTCATAGAGTTGTGCTTGCTGCCTGCAGTCCTTACTTCCATGCTATGTTTACAGGTACCAAATATTTAATTCTTGTATTTGAAGATAACAAGGCTGCACTGAAATGTGAAATTACAAACTTTTTTTTTTTGCTAAACAAAGTCTAACATTTTAATGCTTTATTTATATTTTTTCAATGAGCTTGTCCTGATTTTAAGCTTCTAATGTCTCCTTAATCTTAACTACTGTGGTGAACATGGTATAAAACCATACATATAACATCTCATTTATAAAAGGAGTTAAAGGTTGTTTATACAGAGTAACTAGAGAAAAAGATTCTCTAATCTTTCCAACTCTAATTGTTTGGCATAAAGCAGACTAAAAAACATTTCTGTGTGAATTTGAAGTGGGTAGTTTCTCTTGACCATTTGTTCTAAATATTGTATTCTTTACTCTTGGATATTGTAGGCTATTGATAGACACACAGGCTTTCATTGGCTTTGGCAGCCTATAGCGTGAGGGTGTATTTCAGTGTTCTTTGGCTAATGCTGAGTGGTATTTGTGCTGTTCACTGTTCCTCTAATTTTATCTGTACAGACTGGCTTTTGCCTCTGCTTACTCCACACTGATTAGCTCACTGCCATATTGCTGTAGCAGAGACACCAGAGGGTTTGTAAGCTAAAGTAGGTTCATTGCCTTATACCTCTCAATAGAATTGCCTATGTTAAGGTTTTTCATTCCTTAATGGTTGTAAATCTCTTCTGGAAGCTCCATTGCTCCATTCTGCCACAAACTCCCTGTGTGGCTTCAGAAAGTTGTGTATCATCCGCCTCTTTTTTACAATTTTTAAAATTTCTTTCAAAGGACATATAATGGTACTTCCTCCCTCCCAGAGGTATTGTGAAGATATCCAGCCACAAAGAGAGGGGTTACCATAAGTACTTTAAAAATATTCTTTGGGGTGCTCTTCCTTTTATTTTGTTTGTGTTGAAGAAGGTTGGACTAATTATATAGGATGTCTTGGTGCTTTGCTTTATTTCTTCTACTGCTAACTTCTTGAATTGGGGCGTGTCTTTGTTGCCACCCTGCAAGCAGCCACCTGGAAGCACTACTCACATCTCATTCTGGCTTAATTTTTGCTGTCACCCAGAAGTTTGGTGGTGTAACTAGTTTAATGCAGCTTTGAACAGGCACTTAAATCCATTTTCAAGCTGTCTCGGGTATGCTTTTTGGCACATGCTCAGGATGATGCTAAATGTGACTACACAGCCTGATTTCTTGGCGTGGACATTCACTGAGGGGGACCAAATGAGTGGTGCATGCATCAAATAAGTGGTGCATGTTTTTAGAGGTGCATTGAGGTCCATATCCGATTGGCACTGATAAAAGGAAAATTTGGCTTTTTTTGGCTGCTGTAGCCATACATGTGGCCATGAATGCAACCCGGAAGTGTGGAGAGCAGTGTCTGACCGGTATATCTGTGGGGAGGAACGGGTGTGTGTGGGGGCAGATAAAGGCCTCCATGGTGAGGGAGGGAGTGGGGGTGGTGTTGGGGCAGGCACAGCCCAGCTGGGGTGGGGCAGAGCGTGGGACAGAGCTGTGGGCGGCTCGTCCAGGGGTTGTGAGTGAGGAGGGGGAGCAGTTCCCTGCTGCTGCATACATCCCCAAGGAAGGCATGAAGGGCCGGTGTCCCTTGGATTTGTGTGCAGGGCGAGGGTGGGCTGCTTGCTGTGAGCTCGGGGCTAGGGGCTGTGTTAGCCTCTTCCTGGGGTGGGGATGGGCCAGGGCTGCACTCAGGGTGGGCATCAGTGGTGCTGGGAAGGTGGGCTATGGGATGGGCTACAGCCACCCCAAAATTCCCTGTAGCCCCCTCTCTCCTCCACAGCACCACCCGCAGACAAGGCTTGACAAGACTTGACAATCACCTTGCTGGGGTCGTTTGACCCCAGTACTCTTTCCTGCCATGGCAGGGGGTCGGACTTGATGATCTGCTCAGGTCCCTTCTGATCCTACAAACTATGAAACTGGTCTGTGCCTGCCCCTGCTCCAGCCTCATTCCTTCCCTCACTGTGGGTGCTTGGAACTGCACCCCACCCCCATGCCCCTTCCCCCTCATAGACTTACTGGCTAGGCACTGCTCTCCAAGCTGTGGGGCTGCATATTGGCTATCAGATTGGTATCAGCCAATATGGCTGGTTAATAGTCAGCCATTGGGATTGGCTAAAAAAATCTCTATCAGTGTACCCCTACATGTTTTATCACAGCACCCTGGGGCTTGCTTTGGAGGCATAATAGATGTGTCCTCAGGGATGAATTCTCACACACACACACACACACACACACACACACACACACACACACAAAAAAGGGAATCTAACAAAAGCCACTTGGAACCTGAATTCCTGGTAAACCTACACATCATCCTCAAGGTCAGAATTTGTGTTTCAAGGTAATGTGCAATTGTGGGCCATCTGTAGAACAGTGTCACAGTAGAAAAGATTTCCATTACTATTAATGGCCAAAAGAAAGGCTCAGAAAGTCCTGAGTTTTAGATTTTATAATTGTTTAAACTGTTGTGTCTCTACCTAGGACTCTAGAAACCCTGACACAACCTTGGAAAACAAAGCTAAATTGCCTACAGAACTTGACTCTCCCTGTTCTCCCACACATCTATTTATCTCAGAAGTATGTTTTCCACAGCAGCCCACATAACAAGATGTTTTGTAGCATGTTCTGAAGATCTGCTTGGTCTGTTTTAGACCCAGGGTGAGGTGGGGAAGAAAAGACGCCCATACCAGAATAGAGCACTTTCACAGACAACATTCGGTGGTCAGCTCCTCTCCGCTAATGGAGGCTAGGTCAAATACTTCTACCCATGCAATTGTGAAAGTACAGGAAACAGATGTAGGCTCTCAAGAGTGAAGATCCAGCCCCTCTGGTGCATTATACATCAAGAAAAGCACTTTGAATTCAATATAGAAGCAAAGAAATAGGAAGTGCAAATCAGCGGGCGCATCTACATGAGACGCTAAATGCATGGTAGACTAATTCTACTGCATGCTAGCGTTGCAGGCAAAAACTGTGCTAGTATGCCAATGTGCACTAGAATTAGTTTACTGTGGATTAGCATCACAAAAAGGGGGTGGGCTGGTGCTACTACACAGGAGCACCAGCCCACCCCCTTTTCGTGATGCTAATGCACAGTAAACTAATTCTACTGCACATTGGCATATAGATCTATATAGAATTGGTTTACTGTGCATTAGCATCACATAAAAGGGGTGGGCTGGTGCTACTGCACAGTAGCACCAATTATGGCACATTAAGTAGTACCTGCTATTACAACTTTTAACTCCATGCGCTGTAATTACGGTGCGTTGTTGAATGTGTAGACATGCCCACTGAGTATGAATGATGTATGTTGCCCTGAGATGCACAGTAGTAGTGATGAGCTTCTGCATTCTGCACCTGCCTAAGCTTTTGGATTGACCAAAGGGTTGAGAGCACGTCCAGAATATGCTTATAATAGCAAAGGCAGGAATTGCAGTAGAAAAACTAAACTTGCAATCTGCTGAAGACTTGCAAATGCTAAAAGACACACTTGGACATTTCTAATGTATACACATATTCAGCCACTCCAAGGATCCCCACAAACAGGGAAACAAATGATAGAAATGCAGGAACAATCAAATAGGGGCATATGAACATGGACATATCTTCTGGTTGGTTCCCTCTATCTCAGTCTAATGTCAATGAGGTTCTACCATTTAGTTCTCTGTTGTGTCCCTATTTTTCTGGGATACTTGATTAGATTACTGGCAGTTGAGTCATGGGGCAGAGCTGAATGCCATCAGCAAACAGGAAAATCGGATGTGACACGAGAGTGCTGTAAGGACACGTCACCTTCTAGAAGTTTTTAGACAGAAAAAGGTGGGGCAAAAGAGAAATAATGTCCACTATTGCTGCAGCATTTAGTAGAGGGCTGATACCAATAGTTGATTTTTAAGGAGGCATATTAGCTGATAGTGATCCAATTTCTGATACCCAGCATGGAGAGCTGCCTCCAGCTGGTAAGTCTGGTGTGGTGGAAGGGCGGGGTGGGGATAGA